GTCCTCTTCTTCATCAATTTACTAACTTTTTTTTCCTCATTGTTGTTGTAGTGCCTCGGCTTTTCACTGGTGAGATCGCTTCCTTTTATGAGAGTTATTATGCCAACAAAGGAATCAAGATCGTTAAAGGTACCGTAGCCGCTGGATTCAACACCAACTCAAACGGAGAGGTTAATAATCTGTTTTTCTTTCTAAGAAACTCCCAACTCCAACATGAATTCTACAATAACTAATGTTTTATTCCATATCATTACAGGTCACTGAGGTGAAACTCAAGGATGGAAGAACACTAGAAGCTGATATTGTGATAGTTGGTGTTGGTGGTAAACCGTTGACATCGCTCTTCAAAGATCAAGTTGAAGAAGAGAAAGGTGGACTTAAGGTTTGTGGTTTATGCAGCCATTCTCTCAAGATTGTTCTTTTGGGACTAATTAACATTTATTACTCATTTGATCTTCCTTTACATTTGTAGACTGATGGATTCTTCAAAACAAGCGTCGCCGATGTATACGCCATTGGAGATGTAGCTACATTCCCAATGAAACTATATGGTGAGATGAGACGCGTTGAACATGTCGATCATGCTCGCAAATCCGCTGAACAGGCCGTCAAGGTACAAACCCTACAATCCTAAATATGGATGTGTATTCGGTTTTTCGATTGAGTTTGGTCCGGTTTGAAAAGTTTCGGTGAACTAGTTCGATCGTATGACGCGTATTTTACTTGTTTATGTAGGCAATCAAGGCGGCAGAAGAAGGGAAATCGATACCGGAGTATGATTATTTACCCTATTTTTACTCTCGAGCCTTTGATCTCTCGTGGCAGTTCTATGGAGACAACGTAGGAGAATCCGTACTGTTCGGAGATAACGATCCGAAATCCCCAAAACCGAAGTTCGGAACGTATTGGGTTAAAGAAGGGAAAGTGGTCGGAGCGTTCCTTGAAGGAGGAACTCCGTACGAGAACAAAGGCATTGCAAAGGTGGCACGAGAACAACCTTCTTTCGAAAGTGTTGACTTGTTGTCCAAGGAAGGTCTTTCCTTCACGGAGACGTTATAAGTTATTAATTCCGTTTCTGATTGAGACGCTTTGTTTCTTCTTGAGGTTTGTGTATTTGATGTTGCATATATCCGTCTT